AACCGCAACTGAAACGACCGGTCCACTGCACACAGGATCCGAATGACTGCGAGCCACTGGGGACACCGATGGAACACCTCGACTGCCCTGCGAATGCTGTGCTGCTATGCTCATGGATGACGACAACTGTCCAACAGGCGTCGTGGCAGTAGGAGACGATGTACAAGGGGGAAGAGTCAAGCCGGGTCCACGAACCACAGTACGGCCATGCAAGACAGGCAGCGGAGGAGCGGTATAGAATGACACAGGCCGAAGTGCAGCGGAAGTCATCCCAACTCCAGGACTCCCTCCAAGCGTCGTCGTCGTCGTCGCTGTGTGCAGCTCCGTGCTCTCTAATGTACGAGGGGCCTCTTCCGATGTGGGAGCAACCTCCTCGGCCATGGAAGGGGGCTCTATGTCTGTCTCGTGGCCCCCCTCATCCGTAACAGCTCCCTCCTGCTGCACAATACCGGTGTGTGTGGCTGTCTCCATCACACACGGGTGCCCAGTGTGATGTCCTGCCACAGCCTCCCCGATAGTAAGGGGCACCTCTGAATGGAAGGGTGCAAGGGTGGTATCATCCGTGCCCGTACACGCAGATAGGTTATGTCGCGTTGGGGACGACAACGATGTGGGAACACCCTCTGTCTCTCGCGCCCTGCCGTCCAACCTAGTCTGCTGCCCAGAGATGACGGTAGCGGTCTCCAACTCCTCCGCAGTGGGACCTGTCACCTGATCCTCGACAACGGGATGCAGCTCCTCTAAAACAGTGGCATGTGTCACACGCTCCTCGGTAACAGGAGCGCTCCCCTGCTCCTCAGGAACAGGAGCGCTCCCCTGCTCCTCAACGGCGGGACATGGCTGTTGTGCTACACGACCCGGGAAAGGGGCATCACAATGCTCCGCTCCTGTCCCAACAACAGATGGCATACCAAACGATGGAGCAGCGGGGGGGGGGACTACCACCTCCACCGTGCGTGTCGATCCTACTTCTGTGGTAGCTGCACTAGAGCCTGCCTCACCATCGAAGGTGGTCGCACGAAAGCCCGTATCCACACGACGGTCCTGCTGAACCCCTGCACTCCCCTCATCCGGTCTACGACACTCGTGAATGTCCTTCATCATATGAAGGGTGTGTCAGGAGCCGTGCAGGTAGCCGTCCAGGTCCTCCACAATGTCAAGGCCCCCCCATCTGTCCCACACACGAGCGACGAGAGGGTCATCACGCACTACGTCTTTCCCCTTCTCTGCTGCCGCAATCTCCTCGATCATGTCCTTCCCCTCCCAGACGTCATTCGCCTCGTAAATGACGTCCTCCTCGTCCTCATCCTCGTAGTCCCGCCCCTGCAACAGTCGTGCACTAGCACGATCCCCCCCCTCCTTGCGCCGACTACGAATCTCTGCCTCCACCTCCTCAGGGATCGTCATGCTGTCGTCATACACCTCCTCAGAGGCAGCGCAGACCTGCGGCTCCGGCGGATCCTCCACCATATCCTCCCAAACATCCACGAAACCCCTCCGGGGACCCGACTGAGCTCGCAGAAGCTGCATGTTCCAATGGATGAACACGAGCTTCTTCCGCAGACTGTCACTTGAGAGTTTATTGCGCCTCTTCGAGTGAATGAAGTCGTGCGAGGCCCAATTCCTCTCGCAAGGAGAGGCAGTGGACCACATAGCGAGCACCTTGATGGCAACTTCCCGCAAACGCGGGAAGTCGCCACACCATGCAGATACCACCAATACGCGGGGTGCATCCTCCCCGCGTCCGCCTTCACCTTGTCGTCCGTCCACCATTTTGGCCTGGGGCTCGCGTGGGGATCATCATGGTGGAACAAGTACAAAGCGAACCACAACTTGCCGTGCTCCTCTGACCCCGGGCCATCAACAGTGAACCTGGACAAATGATCCAGCGCACTTTGCACAACCGTGCTGCCAGTATCCGCCAACAAAGACACATCTCGTCGTCGCGGGTTCACCAGGTATGCGAGCGCGTGCACTGGCTGCCGCATCATGCTGCAACGGTACTCCACCCTGTCCAAAATCTTTGTCTCCTCCTCCTCAGAAAGACCAGTGTTGCGAACTCGCTGTCTGATCCTATCCACAAACCCCCACAGGGTGGGGGGGGAAGAACCGTCCCTATCCATGTCACGCAACAGACTATACGCCGGCTGCATGACATCCTGTACGCGGTGCGCACTCTCCCAAAACAAGTCGGACATCACAAGCTGTCGAACGGGGCGCTCATCCTGGGCTGCCTTCCCTTCCACGGGGTGGAGCGCCATCTCACACTGCCCACAACATCCCTCAATATGCGCTCCTGATCGGTAAGGTGCTCCACCATCTGGAATGCTGACCCGAACCGTGTGTCACATGGTCGGATCAACTCTAGCTGCCCTCGGCCCTTAAAGGAGCGATGATACGTGAGGGCCTTCTGAATGTTCTTGAAGAACATCACAACCTTGTGTGTGTTCTTCAAAATAGGGCGCACCCACTGGAAGCACGTGATGTCTCGAAGAAGGAGACTTGAGCAATGGGCCGCACAGGGGAGCCAAGGGATCCGAGAGATGGCGCTGTCGGGATGGTCCTGCAACCGCTGCGCAGCCACCTTATTGGCGTAAGCATTGTCAGTGCAATACGCATTGACAACGTCAACGCCAATATCTCGGATGACGTCTTCCCACAAATCCGCGAGTGCCACACCAGTCTTGTCCCTCTCCGACATGTCGACGGTGGTGAGCAAGATTGGCCCGTCCTTGCCTGCTGCAATGAAGTTGACGACGAGCTTGTACGACCTCGTTGTAGCCCCGTCTGTCATCATGGTACACCCTGTGAGCTTCCATTTTGCCTTCTTCGGCGCAACTCTTTCCGCAATCTCGTGGTAGATCTCATCTAGGAGCCGTGTGCGCACGTCTGTGTATGAGGGTAGGACCAAAGTTGGCCCAATCGTCACCCGCATCAATGACACCATAAAGTCATGCAGCTCCTGCGTGGTCTCGAGGCGCATGAACGAGAAAGGTACCCCAGCCCTGAATAACGCTCTCGCCCACAACCTCTCGTACTGCTGCCGCAAACCCCCACTGGCCCAACTATCCAACCTCGTCTGCAGCATTCGACGATCATGGGGAACGACGACGCCCGATGGGCCAGATGTGCCCTTCGTCCTGAGCCACGCCATGTCCACTACCCGCCCCGAACACTGTTGTAAAGTGCCATCCGAGCGGGTCGGCTGTCGCCCCACCTCGAGGACTCGTATCCTCTCTCTCAGCGCAGTGAGCTCGTCCTCTGCGCGCACACCACCAACGCGTCCCTCATCCGTCATGGGGGGATCCGCCCCTCGGCCTCCCGACTCGTCTCCGTGGTCAGCAGCCCGGTCATCTGCCATGCGTGCAGCAGGGGTGGCCGCGTCATCGGCCCTCCGCAGGTCCTCCATCTCCAACTCCTCCTCGCGGACATCCATGTGCCTCTCTGCCATAGCCCTCCCCACAGGGTCCGTGATGGAGACCCCGTCTCTCATTAACTTGTACAAAATCTCTCCTGTACGAAATCTGCAGTGCGCAGCCGGGCGGGTGAAGTGGTCCTCTGCCTTCGTCTGGGCCCCAACCCGTATGTGGTTGCACAACGTGCAGCGCAACTTGTATTGCCCCTTTCCTTGCACTCCCACCTCCTGCCCTTGGCGCACCCATTCCCATACCGCATGCTTCCCTTGCAGCCAGCGCTGTCGACTCTCATCGGCCTCCTGGAAAGGCACCTCCCCGTCCGGGAGGCTGGTGAACCTCCCTCGTGATCCTGGTCGGGACATCACACAACCACCTCTCACTCTCTCTCTCTCTCTCTCTCTCTCTCTCTCTCTCTCTCTCTCTCTCTCTCTCTATCTATCTATCTATCTATCTATCTATCTATCTATCTATCTCTATCTCTATCTCTCTTTATGTATATCTCTGTCGCACGTAATCCAGCATCTTCATTACTGCCTTCGATCATAACCTGCACAAATAGAAAGAAAAACCGCGGTTCTATTGGTCGTTTGATTGAAAGATACTAGGATTGATTGATTGATTGATTGATTAATTGGTTGCTCGGATCCCGATACATGCTAGACATCAATGATCAACCCCAACCAATGTCGAACTACAGATCGACGTTCATCCTGATACATGCAAACTGGTACAGATCAACCCCAACCAATGTCGAACTACAAATGAACGTTCATCCTCATACATGCGAACAGGTACTTCGACCTTGGTTGGGGTTGATCTGTATCAGATTGCATCCTGACAGGGACTAACGTGACAGGGACTGACCTGACATCAATGACTTGGATACGAAACCCGACTTGACAGGGACTGACCTGACATCTAATGATACTTCATACATGTGAGAAAAGGCGAGATAGCGCAGCAGAATGCAAGACATCGATTATCAACCCCAACCAATGTCGAACTACAGATCGACGTTCATCACCGTTGCAGGGTGTGAGAGCCAAGGATCCGCAAAATGATGAAAAGGACCGAAATGGAGGAGGTGGAGGAGGAGGTCACGTTTTTTTTTTTTTTTTAATCAATCAATCAATCAATCAATCAATAATCAATCAATCAAGAAGAAAAAAAACGAACAGAACGAAAAAAAAAAATCCAATCGAATCAGTGGATTCGATTGGATCTTGATATCGAATATCAAGATTCAATTGAATCCACTGATTCGATTGGAATTTTTTTTTCCGTTCTGTTCGTTTTTTTTTTCGTTCTGTTCGTTTTTTTTTTCTTGATTGATTGATTGATTGCAGCAGGCTGGGCGCTGAGCACGTAGTAGTATCCCAAGTAGAGAGTACACATGCACCGAGAAAACCATCCATAAAGAGCAATACAATGAAGTATTGAGCCAATGTCCAAGCCCGTAGGCCACACCAACACAGTATCCAGAGTCGCTCTCTCTGTCTGGCGCACAGCGCCCAACCTACACTACCATACAGAGGGAGGAGAAGGGTAGGAGAAAGAGGAGGAGGAGGAGGAGGAGGAGGAGGA